GTTCAGAAATGACAGTGGTGTGTGGTTCTGAAGTGAGTTGTTTCTCAGAGTGAGGCAGAGCACTTCTGCCAGCTCTGACGTGTGGAACTTGTGCGCCTGGGCTGGCCCAGGGCCTCCGTCCTAGCACCCTGAAACCCGCTGTGTGTCGTGGGGTGCCCGATGGCGGAGCAAGCCGGTGAGGATCGGGGACTCGGAAGTGGGGGCCCGCGCCGACGTCGGAGGGCCGCGCGGTTGCCTCTGTTAAGGATTTCGAACGTGCCCTCCGTGAGGGTGGTTTTGAATCCACCTCTGTCTCCTGCTCACCTGCCCCGGGGTTTGTAGTTTAATGAACCCGGCTCCGGCACCCGCAGCCGGGGAGTGCAGACGCCGAGCTCTGTAGCCACCGTCTGGCGGGACGCAAATCAGCCCAAGCCAGGATCCTCAAGAAAGTTATTGGGAATATTTTCTTTCCATGTAAATGTGATCCCTTTGAATAGTTAAATAACTCAGATTTGAATACGGTTTAGGTGGGTCATAAAACCAAATTCGTTGGAAGCTGGGAGGGGTGGGGGGGTGCTCAGAGCCACGGGCCCAGTGCGTGGGCTCGGCCTCTGGGGGCAGCTTGACCCCCACCTTCTCCTGTTGTAGGAAGGAGACGAAGCTATCCACAGCCAGTCCTCCAGGGACCGCGGCGAGGGAGCCTCATGGAATTCAGACATTGGAGCTTTCTTTATGTCCTTTGTTTAATTAGGGGAAACTCATGCTTAGATGAGCCCTTTTCATTTTTCAATAAAGGCTTTATGGTGTTTCTTTGCTTCATTGAATCAGGTTTTATTGCAATGCTTTAGTTTCAGTCAAGGCCCCCTGGTGCCCCGGGCATCTCAAGCCTGGCGGCTTGTACTTCCTGCTCTGGCTGCCGGAGTCCCCTCCTCTTCCTCATGCTGGCCGCCACCTACAGTCAGGGCCTTCTCCCACAGACCCAGAGGACCTGCACGCACAGACCCGTCAGGCCCGCCTCCTTCCTGGCCTGTTTCATCTAGAACCTTCCAGTGATCGGCTCTAGTACCCCATGGGGCCCAGCTCTGGGCTCCGTCACTGTCAGGAGCCCAGTTCAGGCCTGAGTCCTGTGGGGGGGTGCGGGGAGGCCCCAAGACTTGCTCTGTTAATTGCTAGGGGTTTAAACGGTGCCTCAGAATTACCTTCCTCTCAGCACACGGTAGTTCAACTGTGGGGTCAGCTGTGTCCTCGAAATAAATATTCTTTTGACTGGGAACAGGAAGTGTGGGAATCTGGACATCCATCAGCTGCAGTGAAGCCTGCTCCGAGGTCTGGACAGTGAGGGGAAGTGTGCGGAGCAGGTGGGCCGGCGGGCGGCCATGGACCCCTCCGGGAGAGAGTCGGGCTGTGGGAGCCAGGCTGGGCCCTGTGGTGGGACCCACCGCTCCGGTGTCCCTCAGCTCACTGGTTGTGCTGTTGGCTCTCCTGGAGTGGTTTGAGATGAATGCTCGTTCCCAATGCAATGCGATGTTTTGCTCCAACAGGAGAGAGGGCTTCTAGACACGTTAGCGGGGCCAGCACTAAGTGTGTCTGTAACATGGGCAGCTGGAAAGAAGCATTTTTGGCTAAAGTACGGCTTTCAGACAATGTTTGGTGAGAATGCAGAGTAGCAAACAGGTGGCCGTGCGGTGCCCCAACCGGAACCCCAGGAGCCCCAGGCCTGCACTTGGCAAAAGCCCCTTTCGGGTCCCTACCCCACCTGCCTCCGTCCGCCTGTGTCCCTGCACTTCCCAGGAGACCCTGGTGTAGGCCTGAGGGTTCCGCTTAGCTCTCATTCCTCGGTGCCTATATGGGGGTTACCCACACCCAGCTGCAGTGCCTCCCATGGCTCCGTGGGCCTCCTGCAGTGCTGGGCACTGGGCTGATGGCAGGGCTGGCCTGGCATGGGCACTGGGATGTGTGGGGCACCGGGCACAGGGGGACCTGCCGTGTGGCCTGTTGTCCAGTGGGTCTGACGCAGCTGGCGCAGGGTCTGCACAGGACACAGAGGAGCCCCCGTGACGCCCAGGCAGAGCCCTCAGAGGACTGCAGCTTGCCCGGCTGGAGCACTGCAGGGGTCACCAGCAGGTCCGAGGCCTTTGAGCTTCCTCGGAAGCTCACCTTGTCCAGGAAGCCACTTTCCAGGCTCATGTGTACAGGGATGGCCGTCTGAGTTTTAGCATTGGAGCCCAGCATTTGACCTGAAGTGTCCCGTGAGTGTGGAGCCCGGGGACGTGGTCGATGCCACAGACATGGGGGCGTCATCCCCAGAGCAGGCATCTCAGGCTGGGGCACACCCCGGGGTGTGTCCTTACCAGAGGCCCAGCTAGATGCTGGCATTGGCATCAGGACACCTGGCTCCAGCTCCACCCCCCGTCCCCACCAGTGGCTCTGCGGAAAGAAAGGCCTCCTAAATTTACTTATTTATTCATGTATTGATTTTCGAGACCGGGTCTTCCTGTATCGCCCAGAGTGGAGTGCAATGGCGCGATCTCAGCTCACTGCAACCTCCGCCTCCCAGGCTCAAGCGATCCTGCTGCCTCGGCCTCCAGAGCAGCTGGCACTAGGCACCTGCCACCACACCCAGCTAATTTTTGGTATTTTTTTGTAGAGACAGGATTTCACCCTGTGGCACAGGCTGGTCTTGAACTCCCGACCTCAGGTGATCCGCCTGCCTCGGCCTCCCAAAGTTCTCGGATTGCAGGCGTGAGCCACCACGCCTGCCCACTTCCTTGATTGACTATTCCTGCCGGAGGAGACTGCATGGCTCCTGTCTCCTTGAGGGAATTTCTTTATGATGGGGAGGGCGGGACTTGGCCTGGCCAGCACCATCCCCAAGGCACCCAGTCTCAGCTAAGGGCCCTCCCCGTATGCAGACGTCCTGAGCAGGGCTCGGCGCGACCCCGAGAGCGTCTGCGCGCACCTGTGCAGTGTGGCCCTGATACGGCTTGTTTCTTTCTCTTTGTCAGGGCTCTGCCCCTCAGGTGTCTGGAATTTCCAGAAGGCGGCTGTGACCCCAGGGTCGAGGCCACGCTGTGTCCTCCTACAGGCTGCGTGCCGTGTTCCCCACCGGTCTGGGTGCTACAGCGATACCTGTTAGTAAATACACTGGGGTTTGAGTTGCTGTTTTGAGACCCCAGGTTTTCTTGGCGTTTATCCTTGTTGGTTTCTGAACCATGGCTTGGCGGAAAGAGCACTGTCCTTGAATAAAGTATCTTCAAGCCTGTGTACTTACACCAGGAGATGGATATAGAATTTCCATGTGCTTCTTTGTATTATTTAGAGGCCTGGGAATACTCCTCCCTAGGCATGTAATCGTAAGGCTCCGAGGTGTTATAAAAAGTCTTTTCCAATCAGAAATCCAGAAGCATGTCTTTCCTGTTAAAATTACTAATTTCCCTCCTAATGGTTTTAAAAAATATTTTGAGTGTAATTAACACATAGTGATTCTTAGATCTAGCTGTGTACTAGAATCTTCTGTTTTGTTTTAAAGAGGGATTCCTAGGCCATGAGACAGTATCAGAATCTCCATGAGAAGGATTTCAGAGTCTGTGTTTTCATCCAATCCTTGAGATGTTTTCTTTGTAGCTGGTGATTAGGGCACCTTGACAGGAACAAGCCAATTAAAATTGCTTTATATATCTAGGTCCTTAGATCTAAAACACATCCGTCTCTCCATCCATCCACACATCCATCCATCCATCATCCATCCATCTGTCCATCTAGCCATCATCAAACCATCCATCATTTCTTCACCTCTGTTCATCGTCCATCTATTCATCATCCCTCTATCCCATCCATCATCTTATTCATTCATCATCCATCCGTCCATCATCCGTCATCCTCTGTTCATCATCCATCCATCATCCATCATCCATCATCCTCTGTTCATCGTCCATCCATCCGTCCATCATCCATCATCCTCTGTTCATCATCCATCCATCCGTCCATCATCCATCATCCTCTGTTCATCATCCATCCATCCATCATCCATCATCCTCTGTTCATCATCCTCTGTCATCATCCATCCATCATTCATCTGTCAGCCCTCCATCCCCTATCCATCTCTCTCCATCTGTCCATCATCCATTATCATCTATCCATCATCCACCCTCCCATTATCCATCCTTTATCCATCTACGCATCCATCCATCCATTATTCCTCCATTCCCCATCCATTCATTCACCCATCTGTCCATTCATCCTTCCATCATCATCTGTCCATTCATTCATTCATCCACCGTTTATTATACCTCCACCCGTCCACCCATCCATAATCCATCTATTCATCCCTCATTCCTCCCTTCTTCATCCATCACCATTCATCCGTCCACCGACCCTTCACCCCCCATCCATCATTATCCGTCCTTTCTTTACCTGTTCGTCCACCTTCCATCGTCCACCACCCAGCAACCCTCCATCCGTTAAACAAAAGGAACACACTTTAGGATGTGCCAGGCAGTCTTTGGCTCTAAAGCCAGCGGTGAGCTGGAGTAGAGTAAGGCAGTCCAAATGCTCTGCCCCATGGAACTGAGGTTTCTGTTGTCAAGAGTGTGAGGTGAACGGGTGAAAACGTGAGATTGTGACACACATTTCCAGAGAAAACGTCAGCTGGAGGGCGGCCCGGTGTTGAGTTGGGAGTTACATGAAGAGGGTGGTTGTGGAGTGGACAGCGAAGCCCGTGAGGACCCGGCCGCGTCTCTCTGGGAGGGACATTCGGAGGCTCTGCTGCTGTGGGAGAGGAGAGGGGGTGAGCAGTGAGGGCTCACGGGGACTTGTTGGATGGGTGGGACCCGGTGGGACCGGGGCTGTCACTGGGACTCACCTGGAGCCGTGGGGCAGTGGGGCCTCAGGGACGTTTGCCGGGGCCGAGGCTCCCCGGCCGTTGGCTGAGGCCTGGGGCTGCTGGCTGGCCCTGAGTCGGTGGGTTTTGGCTTTGCGATGCCCAGCCGCTCATGCCACTGTCTGCTTCTTTTTCTCTCTAGAACACTATGGCTACGCGCCCTCCAGCGTCGGCCCTGCCCTGCGGCTGCCCACAACGCACTCCTCCCTGCCGGCCCCGTGCCACGACCTTCAGACCTCCACCCCGGGCCTCGTCCTGCCGGCGGAGCACCCCGCAGGGTACGGGGCGGCTCTGGACGGCGGGCCCGGGGGCTACTTCCTGTCGTCCGGCCACGTCAGGCCGAACGGGGCCCCCGCCCTGGAGAGCCCACGCATCGAGATCACCTCGTACCTGGGTCTGCACCAGAGCAACAGCCAGTTTCTCCACGACGCGGAGGTGGAAGACGCCCTCCCCGGCGCCAAGCGCCCCGCGCCCACGGCCACGCTGAGCCTGCCCGGCCTGGAGGCCTACAGGGACCCCTCGTGCCTGAGCCCGGCCAGCAGCCTGTCCTCCCGCAGCTGCAACTCCGAGGCCTCCTCCTACGAGTCCAACTACTCCTACCCGTACGCGTCGCCCCAGACGTCGCCGTGGCAGTCCCCCTGCGTGTCCCCCAAGACCACGGAGGCCGAGGAGGGCTTCCCCCGCGGGCTGGGCGCCTGCATGCTGCTGGGCTCCCCGCGGCACTCGCCCTCCACCTCCCCGCGCGCCAGCGTCACCGAGGAGAGCTGGCTGGGCGCCCGCTCCTCCGGGCCCGCGTCGCCGGGCAACAAGCGCAAGTACAGCCTCCACGGCCGCCCGCCGCCCCGCTCGCCCCGCCGCTCGCCCACGCCGTCCCCGCACGGCTCCCCGCGGGTCAGCGTGACCGACGACTCGTGGCTGGGCAACAGCACGCAGTACACCAGCTCGGCCATCGTGGCCGCCATCAACGCGCTGACCACGGACGGCAGCCTGGACCTGGGCGACGGCGTCCCCCTCAAGGCCCGCAAGACCGCCCTGGAGCAGCCGCCCTCGGTGGCACTCAAGGTGGAGCCCGCCGGGGAAGAGCTGGGCAGCCCCCCGCCCCCGACCGACTTCGCGCCCGAAGACTTCTCTTTCCAGCACGTCAGGAAGGGCGGCTTCTGCGACCAGTACCTGGCGGTGCCGCAGCACCCGTACCAGTGGGCAAAGCCCAGGCCCCTGTCCCCCACGCCCTACATGAGGTGAGCGGCGGCCGGGGCAGGGTGTCCGTGTCTGGGGGCCGCGACTCGGGGCCTGCTGGGCAGGTGGTCCCGTGGAGCCGGGAGGGAGGGGCGGGTCTGCCCGCCTCCGCCCCGCGCCCCTGCGGCCGTTTCCCTGCGTTCGTCTGTGCGTGTCTGTCCGTACAGTCTCCCGACCTCTCGGATCAGGCCCTGCTGATGGCCTCATGTTGCTCGGTTCCTGCAAAGACCCATTTCAAGTAGGGGGGCCCTGCTGGCCGTCGGGGCTTCCACGTGGGAATTCCGGGAGCCGCCATCGGCCCTAAGGAGGATTCACACGCACCCACTTTCTTCCTCAGGGAACCGGCTGTGGTGCCTCCTCCCCTGCCCCCCGCCCCCCGCCCTCGTGATTGCCATCCCCAGCTCCGGGGCAGATGTCCCAGCCTGCCGCGCTTGGGAACGGCAGGGCCGCCTGCTCCCCGGAGACGCTGGCCGCGGCGTCGGGCCGGGAGCGCGTGCGCCTGCCTGCTGTGGGTCTCGGCCGTTGGTTTTCGTATAAACGGTGTGAGGGGCCGCCGGGGCCGCTTCACCAGCCCGGTGTTCTTATCTTTAATGAAACAGCTTTCCCAGCAGGTGGGCTGCGCGTGACCCCTGAGAGTGCTTTCTGCCCTGGGATTTTTATCTGAGGCATGGAAACGTCCGCACTGTGCGGCCAAGGGCAGCGCCCTGTGGCCTGTGACGTCGGGGCTGCTGCTGTGTCCTCAGGAAGAGGCGTCTGCCACGCGCAGCCCGGGGCATTCCAGGCTGGGTGTTTTCCTGTTGTTTTTTTTTTTTTTCCGTCCCTCCCCACCCTCAAGTCGTTTTTTATTAGCAAGCACTCCGGAGGTGAGTCCAGGCAGTGGAGAGGGCAGGTGCTCCCCAGTTCCGCAGGGTGAGGAGGGCAGGTCACCCTCTCTGAAGGCTGTAGCAAGGAAACGGCGTGAGGGCCTTTCCACTGGCATGGCGCTGAGAATCTCCGTCAGCTGGGGTTTCAGGAAGAGCAAGATGACCACGGGTTTTTCGTGACCTTTCCGTCCCGACTTCTGCTTTGCATGCTCTAAGGTTTGAAAGGCCGGCATATTCCTAGGTTTTCATCAAAACAAGCCTGTGTCAGGACCTGGGTTTAATTTAAAAATTCCATCCAGTTGGAGGCACGGGGACGATTTAAGACCTGTTTTTGTATCTGTTCTATCTCTGTTTAAGTAAAAATAAAAGCGCCGTGGCGTGGACTCTCCAGCAGCCACATTCATGGCACCTCACGGCCTCTGAGCCTGGGGACAGCAGTAAGCTCGTCCAGCACTGCGGAGCTTGACGGAACTTTCGAGAAAAGAGAAGAGGCGTCGTGGAGGTGTAGCTGGCACTCGGCGTGAGGCGCGTCTTGTGTGGTTGTGCACCTTTGGGTGGAGCCCGGGGCCGCCCCGTCGCGGTCCTGCGCACACGTGGCCTGTGCCGCGGGTTTTCTCCCAGGGTCCTGAGACCGGAAGCCAAGACCCAGGGCCGATCTTTTGGAGGCCCCTCTCCCCGGCTTCTCCCCGCGACTGCTCACCTCGCCGGCCCCGTGCATGTCTGTGTCCAGATGTCTGCTTTTGTGAGGACACTGGTCCTGCGGGGCTGGCCACTCGGGTGGCCTCGACTGCTCTGTAAAGGCCTCCCTCCACACAGCCTCGGTGGGCAGGACTCCATCATGGGAGTTTGCGGGGGCACCGTTCAGCCCTCAACCCCCCTCTTACTGTCTGGGTAAAACGGTAGGCAGCGTTTGAAACGCAGGCCCATCCCGGTTCCTCCTCGGCCTCCCGGGAGGTGAGGTGTCCTCGGGGCGCTGTGCTCCGGCGGCCGCAGCCCCTCCTGCCATCTCTGGCCTGCGTTTAGTGCGGAGGTTGGAAAGCATGGGTGCCTGGGAGTTTCAGCAAGGATTGCACCGCCACGTGACCCCGTTAGCTTTATCTCCGGGCTGCAGCAGCCCCGTTAGGTGTGATGGCCAAAACGTTCCTGAGCGTTAACACAAACGGTCCCCAGACTCGCTTCCTGGGTTTGAAGCTCACCTTTTCTCACTGTTCTGTTCCGCGTCAAAATATGTTTCCTGGTCCCTTGAGCTCTGTTTCCAGCGACCTCGTCAGCGGTGCCCCGGGCAGCTGTAAGTCACGGCAGAGATGAAACGTTAAGTTTCTTGCCGGGGAGGTGGAGGGGCCCAACTTCCTTCCCCAGGAACGCCTCTCCCTGGTCACACAGCAGGCTCTCGGGCCGTGCAGCTGGAAAGCTGTGTTTTTTATTATCTCCAGAGCCTGGGGTGGAGAAAGTGTGATGTGCCCATCTTCCCCCCGCTGTGGGGCAGAACCTGCCCCATGAGTCCTGTCCTGATGCCAGAGGGAGCTGATTAGTGAAAAGTGTGCTGTGCGCGTCCTTTCCTGAGGGCCTTCGGGGTTCTGGACTGTTGCCCTTTGGGGCGTTCCGTGGCTTTTTCAGCATCTGTGGCTCCGGTCCTGTGCAGGGGCCTCTGATAGGCCCACAATGGTCAAAGCACAATGCTGCAGTTGAAGGAATGAGAACGTTTGCGAAGGTAGTGGGAGTGATGGAGCCTTGATGGTTTTAGCTTGTGGAGCTGTTTCAGAGTTCAGTGGAGTGATGTGTCTGTTGTCAGAGCTTGGGGGGATGGGCACAGGAACCACAGGCCACTGCCAGACACCTAAAAATCCGAATGTTAAGCTGTGCACGCTGGCATCAGAAAGGAGTGGGCTTTCTTCCTGCCTGGCTTCTGTCCAGGGGGACTGATGGCGATCCTAGCAGGTCGCCTCCCAGGGCACCTCTCTGTGTGCCACGAGGGTGTGAAGAGGCGCTGCCGGGCTGCGTCTGGAGGCGGCCAGGGCGAGAGTGCGCGGCCAGCGCTGTGTGGGCTGTTTGTGACTAGTGGTTCTCAGACGGTGGCTTTTGAGATTTCGTGTTGACCAACAAGAGCTGAAGTCTGCACGGCGGCCTCCTGGCTCTGCTCCTCCACCGTCCGGCCGCCTCGCCGGCCAGCTGCCACCTGCGTCTGTGTCCAGGTCGGTCTGTGCCGGCATCTGCTCCTCCCTCGGCCTCTGGAGAGCTTCCCCAAACCCGTCTGCATGTGTCTCGCTCTGCACCCAGTCTCCAAAGCTGCCTTGATAGAGGCAAAAGGTTGTAGGGAATGGAGACTTAAAAAGAAACTAGTTTTGGAAAGGCAGTTCGGTTCATTTTAATGGAATCTGTGTGCAACTTTAACAGCACGAATTCAGTTTCTCTACCTGAAACATTGCTTTTTAGATTGAAAGTAAAAAGAAGTTAAATTTTTCGGAGGTGAGGTTGGCTGACAGACAGGCTTTCCTTAGGGCCCGCTTGTTTTCGACGGTGGGAACAGCTGAGGTTGATGCCGTGACGTCTGTCCAAACCTCTTTGTCTCAGATGTCGTTTCTTTTAGGTTTTGGGCTGCAGTATGGAAGATGTCAGCAACATCAGCCACTTTCCCACTATGCCTAGTATTAGTTTCGAAAGGTCTGAGGAAACCCCCCTTGCGTTTCGTAAGGTATCTTCAGTCTCAGCGTTTATCGGGATCTGGAATAGTCCCGCAGTAGGTGGAGAGCCTGCCATCTCTTCACTGACGTGAGGACCCTGCCAGGCTCAGCAGACACGTCCGCTGCCTTGGAATTCCCTTTGCTCTTGTGGCTCTGGCCTCGGCGGTTCGGGCTCGGCAGGTGCGGGGGACGGTGCAGGTTTTCCAGGGCTCCCAGATGCTGTAGTGGGGGCCGTCTGGCCTCTGGTGCCTGACCTTCCAGACCTCCGTGTCCCTGGACGCTGGTGGGCCCTGTGGGGTGAGAGACACAGTCTCTAAAGCGTCATGCCAAGCCCTGGCATAGCAAAACATGTAAGGTGGTGGCTGTGGGACCTTCCCGAGCTTCCCGCTGCTGTCACCTCCTGGGAAGATGGTTAGCAAAGAAGCCGAAGGTGTGGGGTTACCCCATGGTTTGTAAAACGCTGGCGCGGAATGGAACGGCTCCCGACTGACTTCCACTGTGTCTCCCTGTTAAGCTCTTCCCTTTCGAGAGAGGGAAGCCACCCCACAGCCATCCTCAAAGCCCGTCACTCTGGATCTGCTTCCTGCTACGCCTGTTCGGGGTGTCCCCTTCCCGCCCCGCACGCCCCACACGCCCTGTCCTGCTGTTTCGGGAGCTGGACAGGCCCCAGCCGCCTCCTGGCTCCTGGCATGCATGTCGGGCCCTGTGTCGTCTCTGGTCCCTCCCGTGGGTGCTGCGCCAGGCTGGCTCTGAAAGGTCTTGAAGGTCTGCACGGCTGAGATGTGGCCCTGCCCCTCCCTTGCATTTAAGGTGGTGGCTGTGGAGCCTGCGTTTGGCTAAGCAGGACCTCTGGTGACTCGTGAAAACCTGACAGTCCACAGGAAGCTCTCGGTAATGGGGGAGACAGGCTGAGGGGAGATGTTGGGAGAGGGTCAGTAGCTGGGCCTGTCTTCCGTGGTGCTGTGGATGCGTCCTGCTCAGCAGCCACCTACCCAGTTTCATTGTGATCTTGGAATCTGCCCTTGGTCCCTGCTGCAGTGGGGTGAGAGGAGCCCCTGGCACCCTGCCTTCTTCCTGTCCTTCCTGTGGGTCTGCGGGGCTCTGGGTACCTGTGGAGACTGTGGGGGTTAGGGGAGCCAGCAGTTTCTTTCTGTGGCGCCTGTGACGCTCTGTGGTGGGGAGCTGTGGGGCCACAGTCAGGCTCACAACGGCCACCTGAGCGTGGACACGGTTGGGGTCACTTTCCCAGGGCCGCCTGTTCATAACAGAACTGGACTCTGTGTGGTGATGGGCAGACCCTTAAGCCTGTACTCCAGACTCCACCCATGCTGGGTCCCCGACTCCTAGGACACCTGGCGAGCCTACCCTCTCCGAGGGTGTCATGCAGCCCTTCTGCCTGGACTGGCCTTCACTCCCCTCACCCCGATGTGGAGCCTTCCGGGGTCAGAGTCCCGCTGA